GCTGAGCATGCTTGCTGAGCCTTCAGAATGGCTAACTTTTAAAGAGATAGTCAATACCAATTGTTGGTATGCATGTAGTACAGTCAGAACTCTTGAGCAGTGTTGACAGACATATAAAATGGTACACATTGAGCCTATGACCCAGAAATCCCACTCCTGGGTATTTTTGTAAGAGAAATGAAAATAGGAAATACAAAAAGACTTACAAGAATAGTTATAACTGCTTTTCTTATGAGAGTCAAAAATAGCCCAAGTTTCCACAAATAGGAGAATAAACTGGTACATTCATAGAATGATAATGGCTGTGTCAGTTCTTCCAAAGGTAAACATAAAATTTAAGTTATTTTAAGTTATGAAACTCAGCAATTCCACTCCTATAAATAACCAAGAGAAATGGAACTTACATACAAAAAGCCCTTGTTGGCATGAAAGTTGATAGTAGCATTATTCAGAACAGTTCAGAGGGGGAAACAATTCAAATGCCTGCGGGCTGATAAATGGATAAATGCTAGTTTGACTTCAAGGAACTGCAAGAGGAAGAATTAATCTCAAAGATATTATGCTGAGCAAAACCAGTTAGACACAAAAGACCTACCTATGGTATGAGTTCATTTATGCAAAGTTCTAGAACAATCAACATTAAATTATTGTGACAAAAAGCAGATCAATGGTTTATCTAGGGCTGGGGGTAATAGTGGGGATGGATGAACTTCAAAGTGCATAAGTGGCTGGGAATGACAGCATAAACCTGTACTTCCAGCACTCTGAGGGCTGAGGCAGAAGGATTTTGAGTTGAAGGCCAGACTAGATCCCATAGACTCTTTCACAAAGCAAACATATAAACAAAGTATATAAGGGAACTATACTGAGTTATAGAAATGTTCTGTAATTTGATTGTGCTGATAACTATACAGGTATGTACATTTCTTCAAAACATTAAAATGTACACTCAGATGGATAGATTTTATTATTTGTAAATTATACCTCAAAAAAAGTTAATTTTTAAAAATAATTCGTGAGGGGCTGGAGAGATGGCTCAGCAGTTAAGAACACTGGCTGCTCTTGCAGAGGAACTGTGTTCTATTCCCAGCACCCACGTGGCAGCTAACAACCATCCATAACTCCAGTTCCAGGGGAATCCAATGCCCTCTTCTGACTCCTGTGGGCATCGCACAAACATGGGTGCACTTGCATACATGCAAGCAGTATACTCAAAAATAATAATAAAATATTTTTTAAAAGAATAATTCTTGAGCATTGAAAACAGGGTCATAAATTAGAAACTTACACAAAATAAGAATACACTAAAAATAATAAAATTTTTAAAAAATTCTTGAGCATTGAAAAACAGGGTCATAAATTAGAAATGTCTTTTACCACCACTACAACCATCTCAGAGGTAACATAACAGGTCATACTGGCAAATTCAAAGCCCTAAAGAGTCTGTGCTTCACTTATTCATCCCTTCATCATTTTATTTTTATTTTTATTTTATTTTCTTTGAGACAGGGTCTTACAATGTAGCACTGGTTGGCCTGGAACTTGATATGTAGACCAGGCTGGCCTCAAACTCACAGAGATCAGCCTGCCTATATCTCTACAGTGCTGGGACTAAAGGCATGAGGGAAAAGCTGTGTTTCATATGTGGACTTTGTCAAGGGTCTAAACAAGTCTGATGCTGGTAATGGGAAATGGGGCTCACTTGTGGAACCATAGCTGAACACATTCACAGATGAGAACTATACACTAAGAATTGCTGTTGCACTCATTTTATAAAAGAAAAAGAACCAAAGCCTAGAAAGGCGAAGCCAATTGAAATTCAAGGATTAATAGACTCCAGAGACAAATGTCCATTTACTATACTCCTGCATCTTCCCAGAGCGTTCCCAAACTGGTAACTTCAGGGAATGTGTCTCTGCTGTAGCCTCAGCTGACTGCCTTTTAGGACAGTCCTTGCTCCCCACCAATTTCCTTCCTCCGTATACACATACACACAGTGTGGCTTTTGATATGTACTAACATCCATATACTTGGGAAAAGTTGATAAATTCTGTCCTTTCATAGAAATAGTGATATACTTATTTGTTATATTTATCTGTTACACAAGAACTGTGCCATGTGTCCTAAGTCATAGCAGGAAAACATTCTGTTATAACATCTACTCCACAGCATAAAGCTCCTCCAAACAAACCTCACAGTATCACAAATTTGTCAAGGTCTCCTGAAGCTTTCTATGGAGAAAACTAGACACACTCCACATTAGCCACTCAATAGTGTGCCTTCTTGCCTTTTACATCAAGCCTTTTGATGGTGGTTTGCAAGTTCCCAAAAAGCCTGACATTCTACTTTTTTGTTTGTTTTCGTTTGAGACAGGATCTCCCCCTGACCCCTGCTGGCCTGGAACTCACTCTGTAAACCAAACTAGCCTTGATCTCACAAAGATCTGCCTGCTTCTGCCTCCCAAATTCTGGGATTAAAAGTATGCACCACCACGCCTGGCAATACTTTTTTATTTTTGATGCTAGCTCTTACAAGTGTGTGTAAATGTGTGTATATGTGTGGGGGGGGTGTTCCTTTGACTTGCCATTAGTAACCTGGGGATGAGGGAAACGCTACCTGACTATAGGACTCTATCCCAAATATCCTTTTCACATGCCCCTTCTCAGTTCTTCAGTGTCAAGCATGGTAGCACATGCCTATAATCCCAGCATTCAGGAGGCTGAGACAGGAGGATCATGAGTTAGAGGACCTGGGCTATACAGAGTCACTGTCTCAAAAAAAGAAAAATCTGAACTTCAGTAGTTTTGTTGGAATGTCTTACAAAAATGGACTCTGCTATTGCCTTACTGTGTGAGTTTGAACAAGTCCCTGTACTTTTCTGGGCCTTTGTTTCCTTTAGGGATATAAAATAAGGCAATTGAACTAGGCGCGACTAGGAAGGTATGAGCATGGAAGGAACTGCTTAGCTCCTTTCTTCTGCTGGCTTGTTCTCTGTGGTAGCTGGGTAGGTTTCTAGCCACTTCCTCCTGCACAGGAGGCTCATGAAAGAATGCTCAAGAATTTGTGTTTTCTGCTCCTGTTTCTACAGCCTGGAAAGGCTCCAAACTAGGTACTGTATTCTCCATTCGCCACCCTCCTCTCACTGCCTTTCATCTTGGGTGCCAGCTTCTGTGGACTATATAATCAAAGCACCCTCTCTCAGGCTTTGATTGGATTTGGCCAATAGGAAGCACTGGCAAGAGATCAGAGGACTAGAGAAGAGTCAGAAGTTATTCTTTCCTGGTGCTTCCCTGCTCTCTTGCTTCCTTGTAATTCCCCCACAGTGGCATTTTGTGGTAACAACTCCAGTTGTGTGGCTATAGCTCTCATTGGTTGCCCTCCCTCTCACTCCTGTTTAGGAGTGCTGACAGAATTTGCTGGTGTCGCCAGTCTCTAAGTTAGTTCTCTTTGCCTTGCACATGCCCTGTAAATGGTCCCTCCATTAAACCTGTTCAAGAAGTGTGATGGTTAATGCTGTCAACTTGACTAGATTTGGAATCCCCTAGGAGACACACCTCTGGGGACATTTCCACAGTGGTTTAACAGGATGGAAGACTCACCCTGAATGTGCGCAGCATGATCCCATGGGGTGGAGTTCCTTGATGGAATAAAAAGGGGAAATAGGGAAAGTGAGCTGGGCACCAGCATTGATTTCTCTTCTTGCCTGGGGATGAAATGTGACCAGCTGCCTTACCTTTCTGCTACCACACCTTCCCCACTATGGGGGACTGTATCCTCTAAAACCGTGAGCCAAATAACCCCTTCCTTCCTTAGTGCTGTTTTCAGTGATTTTTGTCACCATAATAAGAGTCACTAACACAGTAAGTCCTTTGAACATGCTTTCTCTTTCCTGCCATGCCTAACAGCCTCTTCCTAGTTCTTTACTAGAGACTTTCAGAACGAGGATACTAACACTCCAGCTATGGAAAATGCAAGTGTTTGGATACAGTTTGAGTATGCACCCCAAGGCTTCAAGTGTTGAAATCTAACACCCATGGTGAAGTATTAAAAGGGTAGAAACTTAGCATGGTGTGGTGGCATATACCTACAATTGCAGCTACTCAGAAGACTGAGGCAAGAGAGTAAGAGTTCAAGGACTGCCAGGGATACATAGATTTTTCAGCCTTCAGAACCCCCAAATAAAAATAAATCTCTTTTATTTATAGCCTACCCAGGATGTGATATTGTGTTAACAGCAAAAGAAAAGGAAATAACATCAGAAAGTTTATCTGGAAGTGAGTTTAAAGGGACAAAGCACAGGTGCCTTTTCTCTTGCTGGCACTTCTTCCAACTGCACACATCCCTTTGATTCTTGGTGCAGATAAGTGGAAAGTCATTTAGTGTTCTGTTACCTGGTGCCGTATTTTACGTATTTTACCAAACACTCCTTTGTTGCTCACCACAATTACCTGTATTTGTGGATAAGCTGCATTCTCCTCACCATCTATCTCAATAAATGTCCAAATTCCCTCTCTTCAATTCACACGTCATACAGGAATGTGTCACAAGTGGGAAAGTCACCAGGGCTGGTTTTATCAGTCTCCTCAACTGTAAAATGGTATTCTATCACCTCACAGAGTTAGCAAGGACTGAATGAGTAATGACTGTGGTGCTTCAAAGGTGGGTAAAAGCATCACCTCATGTTAGTACCCTCTCCTCTGAGTCAGCTTGGCCCACTCTCCTATCATCTGTGAATAGGAAGAAAAGGGGGCTTGGCTAGGAACGTCCTCCCATTCTCAGTGATTTCCTCAGTACTCCCTCCCCTTTCTATATCACATTTCTGAAAGATTTCTTTTACTGTAACTTTTTCATCCCAGGAAGTACCAGGAAAGGCAATAAGGTCAAGCTGTGACTCTTTTTTATTATTACATTTATTATTTATTTATTGTGTACCACAGAGGTGTGTGGAGATCAGAAGACAATCTTCAGGAGCCCTCTCCTGACACCTGTGGGTCCTGGGGATCAAAAAGATTGTCAGACTTGGTGGCAAGTGCCTTTACTTGCCCAATCTTTGATTCTTATTTTGTGCTAACTCTGGACCAACAGTTTTAAATGATGGCCCGGGGAGCCTACAGGTCCCAAGGAGCCCCACAGACCACAGAAAGTGGGCACTACTTCAGGCCCCTCTTGGCTTGCTGTTATCTGCTTAAGATTTCTTTCAAAACTGAACATTCTTCCAAAACTGAAAAATTGAAAAGGCTTGCTCTGCTGAGGTACTGAAAGCAAAGCACAGATTTACAACTCTCAGTCCTATTCTTTAGCCTCTTTGCCAAGAAACTTTCTCTCTTCAAATGTGTTGTATTCTTTCCATTTCTGATGCTCTGAAAGAGATATGCAAGCAATCAAGTCTTTGTGTATTTATCTACTTTGTCTTTCCCAGGCACTCTTTCTATTCAGCACACAAAGTCTCTTTAATTCTCAGGCCTCAGGGGAAGGTAACTACAACACTGTTTAACAATAGAGACATTTAAGGCACTTTTTATTGGCACCTGATCCAGCAGCTGTGGTACTTTGAATTCTTGGAATCCAAAATTACTAGGAACCACCTATTCTTATGACCAGGGTCAGGCCTGGTCCTAGTGGCTGCTATAAGGGAGGGAAGTAGGGCCACCAAAGCCCTGGACAGGGACAGAGCTACATGGCACCTGGAGTTGGCTTGGGGGGTGGGTTGGAAAGGAGCTAACATCTATCTCAATCAATGAAGTAATTTCCTTATGCAGTTTGAAATGCTGGGGAGAGAGAATATGAGTACTTGAAGCAAAAGCCCCAACTATTGGACCTCTGCCTGGAATGGCCTTATCTTAGATTGTCATGATGTTCTCTCCCATACTTTACTTGGGTCTTTGGTTTAAATGTTACCTCATGAGAGCTGCCTTAAAATTGGCTCCCCACAGCCCAGATCCTGCCTAACTCTTCCGCCTATTCAGACCGTACCATTCAGACCGTGCCATTCGTGTTCTCAGAAGACTGATCTTGTCTTCACAAATATGAAGGTGATACTGGGTTTTCTATGGTCACTTTTTGTAGCTCGGGTGCCCTGAGTTATTTTAAAGGGAGCCGGTAGTACTCAGAGAGGACTGCCACAGTGATCTCTTTCTTTTGTGTCTCTGGGTTAGCCTCTGAGGCCTTCAAGACTAGATTTATTACTCATTTTTTTTCAACAGAAAGTGAGTGGTGTCTTGGTGCTAGACATGCTCTAAATGTTAAGAATAAGGAGAGAAAAGTCAGGGGTGTGGAATTTATATTGGGGATAAAGAGATGATACACAAGCAAATATAGATTGGGTAATGACAAATACCATTAGGAAATATGGTTACAAAAGAGTTTTAGGGTGGTCAGGGACAGCCTGCCTTAATATTTGTAGGGACTGAGTCAATAATACAATTGAAAACCACATGTCATAGGTTTGTGTATTTAAAAACTAAACCACTGGGTGTAACAGGGCCTATCATCCTAGTTACTCTGGAGGCTGAGATGGAACAATCTAAATGTGAGGCCAGCCTGGGCTACGTAGCAAGACCCTGTCTCAAAAAACAAAACAAATTCTTATGTAAAATCCATACCCTTTTGGACTGGAGAGATGGCTCAGTGGTTAAGAGCACTGGCTGCTCTTGGAGAGGATCCAGGTTTGGTTCCCAGAACCACATGGCAGCTAACAGCTATCCATAACTCCAGTTTCAGGGGATTTGACACCTTCTTTTGACCTCCCTGGACATTGCACAACATAGGTGCACCTACCAACATGTAAGCAATACATTCATACACATAAAATATTTTTAAAAATTCATACCCTTTATGTAGACACGTATACCTTCATAATAAGACCGTTTTGGTTTTTTTTTTATTCTTGGACTCTTCTGAGATGTACACTGGTATGTGTTGGCTTTAAGGATAACTGGTTTCTGGCCTTCATCTTTCCCCTCCTATTAGCACCCAGCTCTGCTCCAGTGTGCCCACAAACTCTCAACATCCATCTTTGCACATCTGAACTTCATACACTCTTCCTACAAACAGCCTCTCCTTGTTTCCTCAAAAGGACAGACCTCAGGAAAAGGACAGTGCAGGCTATTTGCCTGATGCTTACCTGTTATCATAAAGGCAGTGTTGTAGGGTCTCAGGTACTCATAGCATAATTTTAAGACTGTAAGAGGCAGGAGTGTTGAGCGTGTACAAGCTGTTGGCACATGGGCTTTTTGCTTTGTGGAAACAGGCAGTAGCATTTAGAGCATGTCTAGCACCAAGACACCACTCACTTTCTGTTGAAAAAAAAAAAGAGTAATAAATCTAGTCTCGACACAAAAGAAAGAGATCACTGTGGCAGTCCTCTCTGAGTACTACCGGCTCCCTTTAAAATAACTCAAGGCACCCGAGCTACAAAAAGTGACCATAGAAAACCCAGTATCACCTTCATATTTGTGAAGACAAGATCAGTCTTCTGAGAACACGAATGGCACGGTCTGAATGGTACGGTCTGAATAGGCGGAAGAGTTAGGCAGGATCTGGGCTGCGGGGAGCCCTAGAATCAATGGCCCTAACAACCTCGGCGGTGACAGAATGAGAATGGCAAAGAAACCCAGATTCCACAGCAATGGAGCCCAGCCGTCTGTGGGAAGGGGGCTTATTTACCCACGAATAGGAAGCCCTCAGGTAGTGGCTCCCTAGATTGGACGGCCACGGCCCGCTGAGGCGTGGGTGCTTCTGACTCCGTACCTCATGGCTCTTTTCTCCACCTATTTCGAATCCCCACTATCAAATTGTGTGAAAGGGCCCTGGGAACCTTCCAGGGACAGCACAAATCAGTAAGGTCCAGTCCAAGGGACTCCGCTTCCGTCCGATACGGGGGCCGCGAGTGGCCAAACTTCGCTCGGCGCCCCGCGGCCCGCGTCGCGGCCTGTGTCCAGCGAGCACTCTCCTTTCGCTCACGGCTAGGGCTCCCGGGCTGGGGGGCCTGAAGCTCTCTGGACCACCTGGGCGCCGGTCCCAGGTCACGCCGCAGGGATCGAACGCGGCGATCCCTACACTGGACTGGGGACAGCAGCGGCTCGGGGGGGCGGTGCCGGTCTCGGGGCGGGGCCACGTGGCTCCTCCTTGCGGGCGGAGGCCTGAGGTGCTCGGCGGCCACCGGGTACCGACTGGTCACGAACTTGTGTGAGGTGGACGTTCCTGCCGCTGAGAATGAGGGGGTGCGGCCGCCGTTCTGGGCCGCCGTCGTGGCTGCTGCTGCTGCTGCTGCCGCCGCTGTGGCTCACGGTACCGGGTGCTGGCGCGGCCCAGCTCTCGGTGCTCTACTCGTCCTCCGACCCGCTGACGCTGCTGGAGGCGGACACGGTGCGCCGGGCGGTTCTCGGGTCCCGCAGCGCCTGGGCGGTGGAGTTTTTCGCCTCCTGGTGCGGCCACTGCATCGCCTTTGCCCCGACGTGGAAGGCTCTGGCCAACGACGTGAAGGGTGAGAAGTCCCTGGCCTCCGCTCCGGGGCTGGCCTCGCTACCTGTCCCACCAGCCGTTCCCCCATCGCACCCCTGGCATTCAGAGCCCTCAGTTCGTTTTTTCCATCTCGCTGTGGTTCATCCTCTCTCGGATTGCTGTCTCTGTCTCCGGGAGGGGGTCTCTTTTGTTCCTCTTGCTCCTCCTTAGAGCTTTCTGTAGCCTAGCTTTATGCCAGTGCCGGTCTTCTCGCCCAGGGACCCATGTTGCCTTCTTGCCAAGTTCTCTAGTTGCAGTGGGTCAGTGCTAACAAGGAAAGGAAGTTGACATTCATTCTGCCACCCCCACCACCTTTCTCCACCCTTGGCTAATTGACACAGCTGGTACACAGATGTCCTTTCTCATCCTTATCTTTGAGGTGGGGTGCCTTCAACAGGCAGCTTTCCTGTTTTCAGTTTGTCTATTTCCAGTCAAGGCTTCTCTTGATCTGCTGTTTCTAGCTCCTTAGCTTCCCATTCACGGCTTTATCTCTCTTCCCTTTGATCTTGGACTCACTCTAGCTTTTAACCCAGTGAGACCAGACACTATAGGTCTATGATGTGTGTTTGGCCTTTGCTCCATGTTCCATTCTCTGGCCTGGACATTAAGACTATGTTGATTCTAAGTTGCCAAATATGAGAACTACTATTCATTTAGTAACAGCCTAAGGGGTAGGGTAGCAGGATAAGAAAAAACACAAAATGTATAGAGATTTTAAGGGGTACTGTTATAGGAATGTTGAAATGTCTAAACTTAAAAACTTGAGCTCTAAAGCTGAAGGAATATATTCGGTAATAATGGTAATTAATATATACATTGAGTGCTTAGATAGCAGAAACCCCACTATGAACTGTACGTGCTTCCTTTCTGCAATTTTTTTTTTTTAGGTCTTTTTGAGACAGGATCTCTCTGTAGTCCCAGCTGGCCTGGAACTTGCTATGTAGACCAGGCTGGCCTTGAACTCACAGAGATTCACCTGCCTCTGCCTCCCGAGTGCTGGGACTGAAGGTGTGCACCACTACACCCGGCTCTTTTCTGCAATTTAAAGGTTGTATCACACACCTGCCTAACCCAGGTAGTGGGTATTTGCAGGGGCAGGAGTGGCATGGTGATAGTAAATTGTTTCTAGTTTGCTGCTTTTCTATGCAGCTACATCCTGAGTATGGTATCAGGGCACTAGCAGAGCACTTCACCTGAAGTGGTCAGTGAACAAAAGCTTTTGGAAGCATCTTAGGGAATAGACATTTCTAGAAAGGAGAACTAGAACTTCTGTGGTATTGGTATTTCTTGATAAACTCAACTGTGTGTAGTAAAATAATGTAGATGTAGTTTTCAAACTTAGTCTCCTTCTTCCCCTGAGCAGCTTGCAAAATGGTTACTGAAGTGGTCAGATGGAATGATGCCTGTGCTTTTAGCCATCTAACACTGGAGAATCATTTTAAACAACACATATAAGACTTTTTACCTCCAATTTATACTTGCCCACATGCCTCTTTAGTCCCATCACCCACATCTATTTTAGTGATGTCAACACATCTGGTCACAGAAGGAGGGAGAAAGAATGTGGAACACTAAAGGGAAGTCATATGGGGACAGTGTGGGCCTGGACAACACTGTTCCCAATAAAAGTTCCCAATCAGTTTCCACTTTGAGTCTCTAAGAGGTCTTTAAGGCTGCATATGGACTCATTCTAGAGGATTCTTGTGTTTTATTTTCAGAGTGTTGAAGGGAAAGATTAACTTCCAGCTGACTCACACATTTGGCCCCTTGCAACCCAGAGTTTTCCCATGAGTTGTATTTCCAGGTACTGACCCAGTCTGCTCTTAGATGAGGGTTGCCATTTCTATAAGGTTCTTGCCCCAGTGCATGAAGCGATAGTCTTTCCTGAAAAGAAAAGCAAAAGCAAATCTTAACTTCTGAAAGGAGAAATGGAAACACCAAAGTATATGGAGGTAAACCAAGAGAAATGGGAGATAGGAGGTTTCAGTGGAAACTGGGGGGTCTTTTTCAAGCCATGGGGGTGAGTCATTCCTTAACAAGATTGTGTAGGTGGAGGGCAGTGGCAGAATCTGGCACTGGCCTTCCATGCCAACCGAAGGGGAGTTCCCTGCTGAGAAGTTAGGATTGGTCTCACTTCTGTGTTCTGAGATTCCCAGAGGAAGTATGGTTTGGGGCTAGCAGACAGCAGCTCTCATATCACTCTGGGCCATGCCACAATGTTGCTCTGTGCTGATACACGTATCTTAGGGTAGGAACAGAGAGAGTGTGTGGAAGATATGAGGGGAGAGAAGAATCTTGTAATCCTACCCAGCTGGCTTTAGGAATTTAATCTGACTGGATAAGATTTGTTTCTTCAGAGACTTGGATGGTAGGTTCTCTGGGACAGTGCACTTGTTCTTTTCCCTTCCTGTTCTAGAATAGCTCCTGTTGTTTGAGAAATTGAGTGTGTCCAGTTGGGAAATTCATTACTATTCACCAGCTAATCAGTCATTAAGTATTTGTTGAGTCACAGAGCATTGTTTACATAGCAGTTGGGACAATGAACTACACACAGCAGGAAAACTGACAAGAGTATGAAGCTGTGTTTGAAAAAGACAGGAGTGGTTCAGCCATTTCTCATTGTAGGAATTCAAGTAAGGGGACAGTCACAGAAGGATAATCTAGTTACCAAAGGCCTACATTCAAGTAGTTATTACATACTTGGCTTATGTCAGCACTTTGCTAAGGACTTTTAATCTTTACCTAAGAAAATATCTGAGCCGTGGATGAATCTTCCTCCTCTCCACCCACCTCCTTCATTTATTTGGCTCATGATTCTGGAGGTTCAAGTTCACAGTAGGGTACCCTATTGCTTTGGGCCTTTGGCAAGGGTAATACATCATGGCAAAAACAAATGTCAGAGTGAGTGCTCACACTCTGAACTGGAAAACAGAGCAAAGAATGTCTTTTAAAAACATTAACAGATAAGTATCATGATATAGATGCTGGTAGAGGTTCTTGACCTAGCAATTTCTGACTCCCTAGCGTGGGCAAGAAGAGAGATGGTTGGAGGAAGTAGGGTTCTCCATGTAGGAAAATAGCTTGTGTAAAGCCACAGAGATTTGTAAGGCGTGCATGCTTGAACTTCAGTGAGCTTTGTTGTCTTTGCCTTTCTTTCCTTTTGAGGGCACAGGTGACATCTCCTATTCACATCCCTGTGATATCTAGCACAGAGCATGGTAAAGGGTAGGAGCCCACTCAGGACAGCCAATGGCCTAAGCCTCACAGGATTCCAAATGATGGTGTGAAAAGCAGAACTTTCTGCTGGTACTGTGGTTTCTCTTGACCCAGACCTAGATTGCTAGTCACATGTCATGGGTAGAGGAGGCATTTTGTCCATCCGATGACCTCACTGCTTAGAAGTCTTCAACATGGAGTAAGGAAGAGATGTGTTAGTGATGGTACTGTATCAAGTAGCAGGCATGATGTAAACTGTCTGTGCCAGGAGGACTCCTGAAAACTTGGGTGGGGAGTCAGGAACTGATGACAAGTAATGCCTAGTTACCAGATCTTGCTGGCTCTTGGTGGTTTGAGTAAGCCTGTACCTCAAGCTTGCTTAACATTCAGAAGTAGCATGGCCATTTTTCTTGCTAAGAGTTTGCCATCCAGAACCTGAACAGTTTTCAGAGCTGGAAAAGGGCAATAGAGCCCATCAGACCTGGCCTTCTGACCCGTGAAGAGCTAAGGCCCAGAGAAGAGGCTTGAGGAGCTTATGCCTCAGCCAGGTGTGATTCTGAGTCACTCTTTTGCCTCAGGGTGTAGTACTCTTGTGCAGTAAGGAGTTGGGGAGGTTAACCTGCCTGGGTCTCTAGAAGTTTGTGTAAGGGCACAGCAGAACTCCTACCAGAGGATGACCTCTCACCCATTACTCCAAAATTTATAGGTCTCTTGGCTCCCCAATCCCCCTACCTTTCCACTGTCCAATTCCCATTTACTCTATTAGTCGAAAAATTGCTCTTCCCAAGTCTAATTGTAATAGGATTTTTTTTCCTCAAGACTGGATAGGAGCTGGGTGTGGTGGCACATACCTTCAATCCTAACATTTGGGAAGCTGAGACAAGCAGATTTCTGTGAATTCAAGGCCAGCCTGGTCTATATAGTGAATTCCAGGCTAGCCAGTGCTACATAGTGAGTCCCTGTCTTAAAAAAAAAAAAAAAGTAGGTGGGGTAATGGTATTAAAGTGACAAACACCAGAAGGCCTCTCTGGTCCAGACAGAAAAGCACTTAATGTTCTACCACCCAGCTTCACTCTAGCAAGGGCACTCAGGTAAAGCAAATTTAAATATTTTAATTGGCTTTTATCTGTGATTCTAGAAGCCTGAAATGTTTCATTCATTCATCAGAACCAGTGTTCTGATGCACTGAGCAGGGGGTGTGGCTTTACAGACGGCCGGAACAGAGAAGAAAAAATGGATTAGTCATTTCATAGTAATTTTCCTCGTAAGCTTTAAAGCAGACAGACTTCATTATCATGTTGGCTAAAACCAGCCTTTTGGGGGATTTGGCTATTATTTCTCCTGATCTCTTGAAAGGTCAGATAACTTGGTTTGGTGGCATGGAACTTTAGCGTGAATTGATTTCATTTTGATTTGGCCTACTGGGCGTAGTACATGAGCTCAGTCCCAACCAAACCAGTGACCTCCTGTAAATTCTATTTAACATACTAGAAATCATGAATATCCAAGTCTACAGTACTCAGTGTCAAACTATAGCTATATATGACATTACAGCTCGTTAGGATACTGACACTGAGAGTCCTGAAAAACATCCTTTGTCAAAACTTTCTTAGAATCTAACTGGCCCTGGCTTTCTCCGCCAACCCCCCCCCCCAAAGACTGAGGCAGGTCTAAAGAGGCACTGCTTTTATTTGAAAGCCCGAAAAACCTCCCTTTTTAAAACCTTTTGTAGAACCCACCTGCCCCTGGTTTCCCCCGCCACCCCCCCCCCCCAAGACTGAGGCAGGTCTAAAGAGGCACTGCTTTTATTTCATACAGCATAGGAGATCAGGCATGAAGAAAGACAAATGCAACCCCAGGCATCAACCTTTCCTCATGTCCTTTCCTGCTGACCTGTATCTCTGGCCTTACCACATCCCTATTGGAAAAGAAATATAACAGCTGTCATGTCCTCCTAGGCATGAATCCTGTGTTCATAATTTATTTACTATGCCTTCAGCATGGTTATCTGATCTGTTTTACAGTTGAGGAAAGCAGATTTAGAGATAAATACCTTCTTACTTCCTCATAGGGTTGTTGAGAGCATTGGACTAGGTAAATTGAGCACATGATAAACTTACTACCTGTGCTGATAACATCACCCTTTAAGTAAGCCTGAAGTCCAGACTTCTGCCAGTTACAGAGACTTACTAGAAAGCACAACTATTTCTGCCACTCTCTCTTGGAGAAGGCTATAATTGAAGCAAAGAGCATATACATAAAGGTAATGCTCTGCCTCTGGTGAGGTGGGGAGAGGAACAAGGTGGCTTATCAAGTCTGGTAGGCCTTTCAAACTGGGAGACTATTGCATCTATATCTTCATTTGCAGAGTAGGGGATGTGATGTCCACATCAAAGGGTAGCAGTGGAGTGTGATGATACAGAGTGTCCCATCCTTTCTTCTTCCTATGTGGTACATACTGATACTTCTTGAAAACAACCAGGCCTGTACTGTGGTTCTCCCCAGAACAAGGTGGCCAGAATCCTAGAGGCAGAACAAAAAGTATCAAGCTTAGAGAATGCCAGATAGCCTAGGAGATGACCTGTGTATCTCACTAGCCTTCAGTCTCATTTGGCAGGGGCACAGAAGGGACTTAGTGCACTTTTGCCTGTGATCCAGTACAAAACCCTGGACTTCACCAGTGGACAGCTCTTGGCGAGCTCTTCTATGACTTGCTGTTTCTTTAAAGGATATATAAGGAATGAACCCAAGCGTAATAATAGGTGACTGATTTAACTCCATCTGCTACCTTGACTGAGGAAAGACTGAGGTTGGAAGCAAAGAGAGAGGTTTTGTTTTGTTTTGTTTTGTTTTATAGCAGCAGAGATGTCAAGAGCTGAGAGCTGGCCCTGGCCTGGGTTGACTGTGTAGTTCAGTAAACATTCACTGCATGCCTAGTGGGCTGTTAGGCAGCAGGGGTACAAACCCTCAGAGACAACCGGGGATGATCAGGTTGTCATCTTGTGGGTCTCTGAACTTTGGGTACATGAGGGAGCTCTTCCTAGGAGATAGTACTAGTCCAAGAGTTGGACTTGACAAAGGAAGTTTGCAGGAAGAGTCAATAAAGGCAGCTGAAAAGAGGCCCTTGCTTCTAGGGACTGCCTGGAGATAGGTTAGAACTGTGCTTTCAGGGAAGGAGGAAACGTTTGTCTTTCCTTTGGAGAAATGCTAAGAGGGGCTACATATGTGGACAGAGATCAAGACTTACTTGCCTTATGACTCTTAAGTTTTCCTCTAAAGGTATTCAGATCCACCAAAGAGTATTGAATAGAAGGTAGCACGGTCAGAACCACAGGTAGAAGAGATGAGTTGGTGGCTGGAGAGGCCCATAAAGGGGAAAGCACATTAGAACCTCACTGGTGTGATTATCCCATGAGACCTGCTGTGGAAGACTGCATGAGCTCACTGGGCATGGAGGATAGCTTAGAAGGGAGGTGAGTAAAGAAGCTAAGTCAGGTGTCCAAAGCACTTAGGACAGGAATAAGGAGGTAATGGGGACTTGAGTAGTTAAGAGACTCTGGAGGGAGGATAGACGGGATTTAGAGTCAGGTTAGCGAGTACCTGTGCACAGACTACCTGATTCTGCTCCTATTAAGGGGAACCAGCAGTGGCGGGGTGAGACTAGAAAAACCTATGCCTTGATCCACAGGACTAATCTCTTTAATGCACCTAATCTTGGAGGTCTATACTACATAATTTGAAACCAGCTGCTGCCTTCTCAGAGTTTTTGTGGCCTTGTGTGTGTGTGTGTGTGTGTGTGTGTGTGTGTGTGTATCTTGCTCTCTACCTGGAGTGGAACTTTGGAGCCCCTCACCTGGATCAGTGTTCAGGATAGCAGCTGGATATGAGTTGGTTTTTCTCTTTCGTAGTCTGTGGTCTGTGCCATTGTTCTTCCTGTTACTTTCCCAGAGAGAAGCCTGTAGTCTAGGAACCTGAAGAGGAAGCATGGTTGATCTTACATGGTTAATCTTCCTTACCTCAGGGCTTCCCTCTCTGTAGTTTCCAGATTCCTCTGTCTTTGCCCTCCCCTAGGATTATGCCCCTATTTTGGCCAGAGCCCCAGAAGCCTCTCTGGAGGGTCCACTGGGGAACACCACCCCCCTCCAAGGCATGTTTTCCATCCTGTGGAACTGATCAGCTGCTTAGGCAGCCCTTAGGGAAAGAGGCAATACTGGAACTTTTCCTGGGGGCCAGGTTCCTCATTCATCTCCTCCAACCCCTCCAGCCCCAAGCCACACCCCACTGAGCACTAGGGGAACACAGATACCATTACAAGGCAATATACTTATGCTGTCTAACTGTATCCTAAACATGGTCCTGTCTTGTGAGGTTCTGCATGAATGCAAACTAAAGGGACTATCTCAGAGGTCCTTTTCTGAGGAAGGTAGGACTTTTCTCATAGAAGGTTTGGGGCAGGGTACTTGGAATTAGTGGCAGTGGGATCTCACATAGAGGAGCTGCAGAAGGGTGCCAGCTCCTTTTGCTTAACAGAATTTTCTTTGTCCTTTCAGAGTGGAGTCCAGCACTGAATCTTGCTGCCCTGGACTGTGCTGATGAGACTAATAGTGCTGTCTGCAGAGACTTCAACATCCCTGGCTTCCCAACTGTGAGGGTGTGTGATAAGGATGGGAGGGTGGGACTGAGGGTGATGCCCTGTGCTTCCCTGGCATCTGTGTAGACTGCTGCATCTGAGGGGCCTTCCAAGCTCTAAGGGGTCTCCCAGTGTTTCTGGGCCTGGGTTTTTTTTTTTAATTCCTAGCCTTTGGAGCACTGTCCCACTATCTGATGAAACACCCGCTTTAGAGATAGAGGCCGAAAAGAAAGAAGCTTATTTGGTTTAAGAAAGTCTGCCTCATGAAGGAAAGGGCCCTTTGTGGATATATTGGGAGGGGTGGATCTCAGCTTTGAGTTGTAAGGTAGTCATCCATAGGCTGGTGAGTGCTGCTAGCACTCAAGGTTCTCTTTAATTCTTCTCATGTCTGACCTCCCATCCTTGGAGGTCTGACCTCGTTCTGTCAAATCAGGATATAGACTATAACCCACCTCTGGGCAGGATCAGCCTCTGGGAAACCAGTGGTTCTTTAGAGACACTGGCAAGCTTCATCTTTATCAAGCAAGAGATTTTATCTGCAAGTGCTTAAGAGGGACTTAGAGGTTGGTAGCTTCATCCTCACAGTTGAAATGCCCAGTGCCTCAGATGGTAGAGATTTTAGGCATAGGAGTTACCACACCCAGAGCATGAGAGCTTATATCCCAGTTCTTCAAGAAAGTAGCATGAGCTCTCTGATGATATTGGTGTACCACAGGGAATCAACAACCTAATGTCTGAATGATTTCCTCAAACAAGGCCCTACATAGCTCATACTGACAAGGCTACTGCAGTTATAGTGAGAGTCCTCCCAGGGTTCAGCCTCTATCTACCAGATTGGGATCTAGAAAAGCAGTTTCTTCTATAGCCATTAAGAATAATCAGGAAATGCCTTTGAAAGTTGAAATGCCAAGTGTTGTTGGTGGAACAAGATATCTCTGAGCTTGAGGGACATCAAGTTTCAGTCAGATCATTGAGCTGAAATTCAGCCTAATTACCCCAGCAGTCTGATCTCCAGGAGTGCCTCACTCTGACTCTTACTGGATTCAGGGGCTTTACAGCCCACTGGAGGTCCCTTCCTAAATGGCACAGGAGCCAGGCTCATGCTCTAAAGCCAGGCTTGTTCAAGTATGTCAAGACAGCAGCCACTAGGTCCAGAGAGGCTGCTTATCAAAGTCAGCCCTTTAAATAGAAAACTTCCTCAGCCCTAAGATATATAGCAAATACTTACATAGGAATGACCTGTTCCTAGTACAGGGCTAGAGTGAGCAGCACTGAGCAAGAAGCTGTGAGAATACCAGGATGGCAACAGGAGCAGTCATCCACAAGCTGATAGTTTTTCCTCAGTGAGGCCTGCCAACAATGGAAGCCACCCTGCCCAGCCCCAGGGAGGGCCTGGCATTCATACAGAGGCCAGTCAAGATATCCATTTTGGGTTCTGTAGGGCCTGACACCTGGAGCTTTATATTCAGCCTGGAAGAGGCTGGGCCCCTGAATGTGAGGAGGAGGCCCAGGCAGTTGCAGGTCCAGAGATCCTCAGCACCTACCCAAGTCACGCAGCTCACGAACCTGGATGCCTCAAGTGATGAATCACTGTACCTGCCCAGCTGGCTGTGAGAGATACTGGGAGGGCCCTTACCTGGTCATCCTGGCTTTCCCTTACTTCTAGACAGGTGACACCTGGCTGGGCCAGTCTGGTAGTCAGCTGTCCATTCTCCCAAGACTGGTGTCTGGCCTCCCTTGGCAAGGCCTACCATACCTTCCCTGAGGAACCTGTAGCCATGTTTTACTTAAGGAGAAGCACTCTGTGCCCTGTCTTGAGCACTCTAGACTATGGTCAGGTGGTCCAAGTTGTTGCTATGTTTCTGCTTTAAGACCCTATACAGTGCATTTCAAGTTATTCTTACTTTAGCCTACATCAGGAAATATACATTTTACATTGTGATTCAAAATTTGGTTTGTGTTATCTCTTACTGAAGCAAACATTTTGTGATATTTTGATATTTTTTGTTATACTTTAAAACATTACTGTCTTTTACTAACTTGATTTTACAACTCACTACTATTGTTGAAATAGGACTCAAATAGATTTCAGTTCTCCAGAGATTCTGGCCTATTGAGGCCTAATGTGCATATAAACACATTGGCCAGGCACCTGCTCCCTGGAAAGCAGAACAGATTTGAAAGTTCTGCCAGCTGCCAACAGTCCAGACAGATAGCCCTGTTGCCCTGTCTCCTACCCTCTGGGGATCAGAGTGTGTCTTTGCTCACTACCTATAGAGGCCATGACAGCGCTAGGTATGGACCCATTTTAGACAGGGAAGGAAAGAATGTTGCTGGTGTGATGAGGAAATACCCCCACAAATCTGGCCACTAAAGTGAGAGTCATTTTCCTCTGCCTCTGGCTTCTTGCTGCCATAAGCAAATGGTGAGCTTCCATTAGCCCAGCCAGTTCAGCAAATACCTGGTCCTGAAGACCAACCAGACTTCTGTTCTGTCAAGTCCCCATTAGACTAGAGCAGAGCTCCATTGGAAGAAAACAAAGATGCAAGGAAAGGAGAGGTTAGTTTTCAGATTTTGGCTGAACAAGCCCTAGGCTAGAGCAGAGCCCCTCATCAGGTAGTGGAAGGGGACCCTTTGTAGCCCAAGGCCTATAATGAGGATTAACTGGAACAGTGCATTGGAGCAAGAGCCTTCTGTCTAAGAGATTCTGATATTACTAATGCAGATTCACATCCATTGTGCAATTGCTCACTGCATGTGACTTAATGCCCCAGCCATGGGCCTCAGTTTTCCAGCCTGTGAAAATGGGATGATGCTATCTACTAATAGTATTGATGCTGAGTGTAAAGGGAGGTCTTACCCGTGAAAGTGCTGAGGAACTGGTGTTATTTGGATTTAGTAAATGTTAGTTTTCTTCCTGCTTCTCGCCCCCATATCTAGTGGTAACTCCTGTGTAGTGGGTGCATCCTAAGCAGCCCTGCCAACAGGAGCTATTGAGGGACTGTCAGGTGGGTATACAATGTTGTTCTCCCAGATGGGGGAAAGGAACACCCGGAAGAGGACACCATTGGCTAGCTGGTTGGGAGGCGTGGAGTGATCTGTGTGGTGAGTGCTAGAGGAGTTGGCCTTGCTTCCTGAGTTCTTTTTTTTTTGCTCATCAAAGAGGACTTCATGTGGGAGGAGGACTCCAAGTGTGTTTGAGTGGAATTGGTCTAGGACAGAGGAGCATGGTCAAGGCCACCACAGACTAGGTAGGTGAGAGCTAGAGCCCTGTGTGGCATGTTGAGGGAACCAGTCCTGTTGCAGAGTCTACTCTGAGGTTCAGGGGTGAGGGAAGGTAGGAGCCCAAGAAAGGCAGGTCCTTGAGAGACAGGCAGAGTGTAGAGTACTTGTGGGGTAGATTCTGGGCTGTTACTTTATAGGACTCTTGCTAGAGTCTTAGAGCTAGAGGGTGAATTGCTGGGGGACAGAGAAGACTCATGTCCCCTTTTCTCTCTGGGAAAAGGACATGGGCTTCCTCTCCACCATCACCTGCTGACTTCTACAGCACAGACAGTAGTAAGTCTGTCCTTGTAAACTCACTATTAAATACTTGAAGACTGATTTATTTTTCTGAAAGCTATTTATATAAGCTTGACTTCAGGACCATCATTGGTCACTCCTGGGACTTGTGCTTTCTATTTAGCTGTTTGGGTTCCTGAAAGCTTATCTAGTGCAGCCTGTTATCTTGCTGTTAGGGAGAGATTGGAGGCCTTTCAGGAGCAGCTAGGTCAATGAAGGTGGAAGCACCTGTCCTGTGTCTTGATCTATGGCAAAGAATGAAAAGAAAGAATCAGATTCTGCCTACTCTCAGAGAAAAGACTCACTTCTGAATGCTCTGTTGCCTATTTACAAGGGGTTGTGGTGGTTGCCCTCAGGTAGGCACACACCTCCAATGGCTGACTTAATAAGGATGTGTAAGAGGAGAAAAATGTGCCCTGACTAGGATTCTACCTGGGCCTCCAAGATGATGAAAGGGTTGTCTTTGCTGGGTTGGACAGAGGTCTTCTGAGCAGCTCAGTGTGCTAGACCTGGTACCAGGCTCAGTGGGGCTTGCAGCAATGTATATGCTATATTACTACCCCAGAGTCAGGTGGGTGACTGGATGGAAAGTTCAGGTTGAAGTTCCTTATGACTGGTGTGTAAGGAATGGGGACTGGGGAAGTAGGTCAATTTGGGTTCAGATCTTGGAAGGAAGGCCTTAAATTCAGTGACTTTGGATCTTATTCATCGGCAGCACAGAGCTGTGGCAATTTGGGGAGGAACAACAGAATTATGCCTTAGAAAACTAAACTTGGTGGCAAAGAAGAAGTTGGAAGATGGATAAATAATAAAAAGATTGAAAGAAAAATATTTCTTTTAAAAAAATTTTATTTATTATTTTTATTTTATGTGTATGCATGTATTGCCTGCATGTAGGTAAGTGCACCCATGTTGTGCAGTGCCCACAGAGGTCAGAAGAGGCTGTTGGATCCCCTGGGACTGGAGTTACGGACAGTTGTTAGCTGCCATATGGATGCTGGGATTTGAGCCCAGGTCTTCTGCAACAACAACAACCAGAGTTCTTAACCACTGAGCCATCTCTCCAGCCCTGGAAAATATTTCTTTTAAAATTTTATTGCATTTAGTTATTTGTGTGCATGTGTGCGTGCACATACACCCATAGATGTCATGGCAGACATATGGAGGTTAGAGGCACTTTCAGAGTCAGTTCTTTCTTCCGTATGAGTCCTGAGGATTGAACTCAAGTCATCAGACTTGGCAGCATGCACCTTGACCCACTGAGCCATCTCACTGGCCAAGGATTAATATTTGTGACTCATGAAGAGAAAGTAGGGACCAGTGTAGTAGATCAGGAAGTAAGTTTTCACTTATTGGTCCTGGTCTAGTCAAGGCAACAGGTAGAAAAGGAGAGGGCTGCTGAAGAGGTCTCCCAAAGGTCAGAGTCACAGAGTTTGTCAGCTGACTGGATAGAGGTTATG